ATTAGTAATACCAGCTGATGAAATGTGAGCTAATGTTGGCCTCTAATTTCGTTCAGGTCCTTGGCTGACTATTCATCAGCCGTTTATACTGTGGAAATCAAATAAGGTCACTCTTCGGAACTGGGAACCTTCTGGGAACAATTGTCCACCTGCTGCTCTCCATTCCCACCCTCCTCCGCCCATCCACACTTTCCTGGTCCTTCCTCTTTGATAACCCAAGTGCTGGTCCTTCTGCCTGCTGCAACTGGGTGTCTCACTCCATTTCCTGTGTTCCACATGATGTCAGAGACACATGGCTGCCGAACATAGACACGAATAGACCAGAAATGTTCATATGTCTCCATGACCTGTATCAGTCGCTGCACTGTCACGCATGTCTAATTAACCACAACCAGAGGCTGCAGACAGACCCTAACAGGCATTCATCAAAAGAGGGTCTTCTCCCTACAGTACCTAAGCAGACAGCGGTGTAGATAATGGTTACAGTGGTAAAACTGGGGTGTGATTTATGAGGGGGTTCTCCTTTCACCTGTTTGAATTACCAAGATAACGAACATAATGTAACTTCAGTCCAAAACCAAAGGTGAAGAGACTGATTCCGATATTTACTTTGAGGTTTTTAACCTATTTTTTTCTTTGTGACCCTGTTTGGGTTTGACAGTGTGATCCTTTGCAGTTTTTGGGACGTTCTAATGGATAATCAGGTTATAAAGGCTATGCAGGTGTAAAATATGGGTATTATAATTAAATGATAAGTCTGGCAGACTTCTATATATTTTTTAGTAGAAACAAATTCCATGATATATAATCAAATGAAGACCACTCTTTTCAAAAAGTGATTAACAACATATTTACATAACTCCTGTAAGGCTGACCAGTATAATAAAATATAGCAGATATATGCACTAAATGCATTGATGCTAAAGTAGCACTGAGCATAATTATTGCATAGATGAACAGATATAATTGGATCTCAGTGTTTTTTAATGCTAAAAAATATTATTGCACTGTTTTGAGAAAACAAAAACTCACAGACCAAATTTCACTCACAAATTAAAGCAAATGCTGCTACACACATCTCCCATTAAAGAACATATACTGAAAAACAAAGAGTGTTTGAAAGTGTCTGGGGACGTTTTATGAACTGTCTAAAGGATATGGATCTAATCTTCAACTAAAAATACATTATTTGTTTTCAAATACTGTATGCAGACTCTGAGTTAATATATTATTTGCAAAAAGAGTATGAATTTGTACATTTGATACGGAATATGAAGTTTTAAGGTTTGGATTATCATCTATCAAGTTAAGGGGAGCACTTCTTTTCAGTTAATATGTTTGTTTGTTGTTACCTATACTGTAGACAGAACTTGTATATTGATGAGGTCTTTGTGTTTACTCCTGTTTGGGCAATGTGTGCTAAAAACCTCAGTGTCCGGCTGAGCATTAAAAAACTATATATGAAGTTAAAGGTTACAGCAGGAGCCAATGCGTTTAAGTATAAGACAGAACAAATATTGTTAGTTTACAGTATAACTGATGAGCCATCATCCCCCTCAAATCCCTCCGGTTCTCTCGGCTACTGTGTCTTCATTTCTGAGACCTCAGAACGCAGCGTGGCTTTTCTCTCCCTAACAGTGAAGCCCTTTGATTCTCACTGCAGCCTCGGCAGCAATGATGACAGCACTTCCTGGAGGGAGCTCTCACTGAGCCCATATTCCAAGTTTCCACATTCCCAATAAGCCTGTAGAGCCCAAGCTGAAGAAAAGAACCGAACCCCCTGCAGCTCCCGTTGCTGCTTCAGATAGGGCCTTTACTGCAGCTGTTACCCAGCACATTACTGAGCCAAAGAATGTCTGTCTGCTGAAGGAAGCCAGAGGACCACATGATTCCTTCTCCCTTTTCTTTTGCTGTGCAGATACAGTCACAAAGATTTCAGAAGGGAATCCACTGGAACTATTTTTGACACTACAGTATATGTGAACCCGACTGTGGTGCACTGACTCCTGGGATGCTTTGGACATGTGGGGGGTTGATCTATTTTTTGATAAGCATCAGAAAAAGGTATAGGAGCAGATTTGACATGGCATGAATAGAATTGTGTATAGGACACACATCATTCACAGCAGACAGGACGGGAGAGCGGGCTGTTAAATAACCATGACAGATGTGATATGATCACCAGGGAATAGACTGAATTATTGAATCACTGCTGCAGTGGGAATGACTCTCCCAAAGATGAAAGTTGTGGCATTGTAACATAACAAAAGCTTAGTATCTCTCTAGTCTCTCCTCCTCTCCTCTTAATTCCCTTCCTTTCTTCTTTTGTGACAGTGAATCCCCACTGACCCCCCAGTTCATCACTACAGTCTAGGTGAGTTTAATTACCTGGAGATATCTTGAGAAGAAATGATTAAGTCTGTAAGGTAAAGTCAACAGAACAACTTGGACAGTGTATAAATCATGTATTTTTGCTGCTTCTGCTACACTCTGCAGTCTACTCCTTCACCTGTAAGTCACAGAAACTATATTTTAGATAACAGTGACCTCAATATTTCTCTATAGTCCCAGACTGATGAATTCCTCTTTAATATATTAAATAATTTGAGCAGAACAGTTTCCTGTTAGTGTAAAGTTGTTGTAAATCTGAGAGTGTGTTCTCAGGCTGATTGCTGATTAGAATCAAGAGTTGTTGAGGGGGAAGAAATCTGTTGAATATGCCAAGGGATTCATGTGCATCATGATGTAGGTAGGGGTGTGTTAACTGTTTTGGTTTTAGTTGGATTCTGCAGCTGAAACTGACTTTGTTTCTGCATTTATATTTTGAAAGTCTAAGATAAAGTTATATTACATTTTGACACCGAACTGCTTTTCTACAGCTACTTAAAATGAGTGAGGTAAAGCTGGTCAGGCTTTCGTCTGTGGTCCTCCAGGAATGATAGTCAGTCTCCAACCACTGCATGTTACACTGATGCATTTCAGTCACTGATTCTGTAAAAATAGCTGCAGTCTTTCTCTGTTATCTTGATGCCTCATATTTAAGACATTATAAGCCTTTGTCAGATGCTCACAAACATCTCGTTTGTATCTTTTAAATTGTACAAGCTTAGAGCTCTACTGGAAGCTGCTCCAGACTCCACACACACACACCATCGGATTAAAGACAGCTCTTTAAACCACCCTGGATAATTCCCATGTCCGTTTATACTTTGACTGCAATGTGCACACAGGAGTTTTCTCTCCACTAATTTATGCCATAAACAAAACACATTTCTGGGTCATTTATTTGCAGTCAACTCTCTGGAGCATCAGCACTAAGCTTTGTTATTCATGCTCCCCCTGCCCAGTGAACAACTGGAGCTTCTGTCTTCAGCCTCTTATTACTGAAACACATCTGGACTCTGTCATATTTCATTTAGTTAAACAGCATACAAGCAATTATAGCAATGTAACCCAAGGGGGGGAAGTAGGGAGGGGAAGGCATATGATGTAAGGGAAGAGGAATTTGATTTATTTAAACATGCCTTTCTCTAACCTCACCTATGTCCTCTGCAAATTGACACCCTTAAAATGGCAATTTATTTTTCATTTACAGCATTTGTCAGAGCTATGCACTTGTAGTCTCTGGCTGCAAGTTGTTGTGCAAAAACCAGTAGCTGTTTGACAAAAACGCAACTGACATCTGTACTGTATAGACAATCAAACTGAATTCAGCACTGTTAGTCATTTTTGTGTCCAAAAGTATGAAATTCTAGAAAAATATATGTGGAAGTGTTTGGCGTGTAGCATCCAGTATGATAAATGAGAAGCCCCTCGTTTCTGTCTTTGCCTAATAATCAGCGCCAATAGAAATGCAGTTGGCCCGCCCCTGCCGGTTTATTGTGAATCCGCGTTCAACTGGAAAACG